TACAAGTTATGAAGCTCCTCATTGTGCAGTTTTCTCCAACCTCCGGTCACTTCATCCCTCTTGCGCCCAAATATTCTCCTCAACACCCTGTTCTCAAACACCCTCAGTCTATGTTCCTCCCTTAATGTCAGAGACCAAGTTTCCAACCCATACAGAACCACAGGAAAAATTATAGTTTTGTGTATTCTAATTTTTATGTTTTTATACAAGAGACGAGAAGACAAAACGTTCCGAACTAGCCTTCTATGACTAAGTCTTTTAAATTGTCTATTACGATGAAGTAACAAAAGCAAGTTTTTTCTTGCATTTCTTACTTCTTTCGTGCCACTCGCCACGTTCATCTCAACTTCCATGGCTTAGTCGCCAAACGGGCCGCGCCATAGCTCAAGCGGTTAGTCGCTGGCTTTCCACCGCGGCAGCCCGGGTTCAAGTGGGATTTGTGGTGGACAAAGTGGCCCTGGTGCAGGTTTTCTCCGAGTACTTCGGTTTACCCTGCCAATCTTCATTCCACCAATTGCTCCACAATCACCCTCACCTATCATCTGGTGCTGGTACAATAGGCCAGAAGTGACCACAGTACAAGGGACTTAGTCCCACCCCATTGGCAATAAATACATGAGCATACAATAACATGAAAAAATAACAACACACAGAGAAAAAACAAGAATCAGAACTGTGTTCGTAAATGCAGAGTGTGTCTGCTACCATTCATTCTGGAGTTTTATGTCTTGTCTGTTTAGAAAGGTAGACTTTAAAATACACGGAATTTTAATGTTGCCTGTAGTTCTGTATGGGTCTGAAACATGGTCTCTCAAATCAAATGAAGAGCAGGAATTGAGAAGAGGGTGTCTGAGGAGAATATTTCGACTTAACGAAGAACGAAGCTACAGGAGCCTGGAGAAAATTTGTTTATTCTGCTCGCCAAATACTATTGGAATAATTTAATGGAGGAGAATGGGAGGACAGGGCATATAGCACGCATGGGAAGAAGTGCATACAATACAGGTATTTTCGGTCGGAAAACCAAGAAACAGCTTGGAAAGAGGCACAGATGAGAGGAAAAACAAGAAAAGAAAGTATCTTGAAGAGCAGGATGTTAAGTGCGGGCTGAATATGTCTCACTCAGGACAGGGAAAATCAGGAAGCTCTTGTGAAAGCTGTAATGAACCTTCGGTTTCGAAAAGGAACTGGGAATTTCTACAGTAACTGAGCAAATGTTAGCTTCTCAAGAAGACCACGAAACCATGGGGTTAGTCAACAGTGATACATTACATAAAACTGACAAAAATAGATTTCACAACTTTTTATTTCAAAAATGTCATTTTGTTTCATTTGTTGCAAAGTCATTGTTGTCTATCGGCCCAGAGAAATAGTAATTATGTGTGAGGATGCTATCCTACATAGTTTCAGTTTTATCTACTGTACTCTTCTCCAAGTGCAATTAGAATGATCTAGTCAACGAGAATAAGATGGGCAGGGAATGGGGGAGACGTGGAATGCATATAGGGGACTGGTGGGAAAGCCAGAAGGAAAAAGACCACTGGGAAGACCAAGACGTTGGTGTGTGGACAATATTAAAATCGATCTTAGAGAGACAGGATGGGATGGTATGGATTTGATTAATCTGGCTCAGGGTAGGAACAAGTGGAGGGCTTTTGTGAACTCGGTAATGAACCTTCGGGTTCCATAAAATGCTGAGAAGTTCTTGAGTGTCTGCAGAATTGGCAGTTTCTGAATAACGGCTCAGCTCCATGAGTGAGCGAATGATTTTGGTTTATTTATTTAATCACGCTGGCAGTAGCTGACATTACATAACGTCGAATTTTAGGTTTATTAGTGAGAAAGGAATTGAAAATAATGAAGAAGGAAATGACCATGGTCCAATTTGATTCACTGCCCAAGCATTTGCTGCATAGACTGTCGAACTGACACCCCGACCGAGATTCGAAGTGGGAACCTTCTGAATGTAAATCCCAATCATTTTCTCACGACCAAACTTGCTCGACTGGTTGTGAATGCTGCATTGGAAGATCCTAAAATCCCATGGGAATGCATGTCTATTACTTTTATGAACTTTGAAACACATTTCCTTGACTTCAGATTAGAGAGCGCATGCCCAGAATTCCAGCTGACGTGTGCTCTAGATCGGCAATGTGTTGAAATTAACTCTGTTGTAACATTTATGTAATATAGTTAAAAGTCTATTTATGGCTATATCCAGACTCGGTGGTTATTATGGTTCTCTATGTTTCAAAATCAGAATTTATCGAGAGTGTGAAATCTCTGATATAGAATTTTAACAAAATTTGTGAAACGGTTTATGAGATATACAGAAGAGGCTATTCATAACCTTGTGGAAACCAGGCTTTATTACGGATCAACATGGATGAAACTCGGAATTATGCCGCGCCATAGCTCAAGCGGTTAGTCACTGGCTTCCCACCGCGGCGGACCGGGTTCGATACCGGGTCGGTCAAGTGGGATTTGTGGTGGACAAAGTGGCGCTGGGGCAAGTTTTCTCCGAGTTCTTCGGTTTCCCCTGCCAATCTTCATTCCACCAATTGCTCCACAATCACACTTGACTATCATCTGGGGCTGGTACAATAGGCCAGAAGTGGCCGCAGTACAAGGGACTTAGTCCCACCCCACTAGCAATAAAAAACTCGGAATTATACAACTTTTAGTGAAAGTCCCCGTGTCCAGAGGTTTAGGTGATATTAGGTCATACACAGTAGGTCAGGGCTTCCAAGTACGGAAGTATTTTGTTTATGTCGGATCTGCGTTCTCACAGTGGTGACCACGCCGGTTAAGCAGTTGGTTGCAGACATAACTAGGGAACTATGAGTATCGGAAAATAATATTAAAAAAAACATGTTTATTCGAAAATCGTATCGTAATATGTTGAATCCACTGTGATCCCACAGGAACCAATAAAGTAGAGACGGCTTATAACGAACTCCCATGGACCCAAATTACTTTTGTACGAGTGAAAAATACTCGTAATTTGACAACACGTAAATTCAAAATGCCTGTCATTCAGTTTGTCTCGTTTGACTGATGTTCGTTCACTGTTGTTACAAGCTTTTTATTTAACATCTGACGCATACTGAATGAACTACTTACAGAAAATTATTGTACTGTTGACAAAGCTAACGGAAGTTACGTAGCAGAAATGGGCACTTGTCTTGTGCTCTGGCTCATATCTCCAACTTACTTAATCTTTATGGTCTACACATCCTTATCGAAATGAAACTGTAAATTCAATCCACGTCTCACGTTTGTATATTGTGGGAATGTTATGTAATTAACTATGATTTTTACAAGCCTAAACCCAACATAAATTAGTGCCCAAAAATCGTATACTTATTATTTTAGGCTTACGAATAATTCAGTTGTGTGCTTAATATTAAGTATAAGCAAATCTACCAAGTTCGAATGTTTTGTTACAGATTCATTTACTTTTCTGCGAAAATTGTTTGAAAAGTCCTGTTGGCCGGCTTTTTTCACCCCAGGCATAGAAGCATGTATGACTTTCCTTTTCATTTATTCGAGGATTTTATCACAAAAAGTTGTAGATTTTAATGGCGTATTTTATGTTATGTACATATTGTGTGTACAATGAGCTGCTTCGGTAAGAACTGGCTGCTCTTCGGAGGAGGTTTATATAAATTAGAAATTTTGTGAGGCCCATATAAACCAAAATTTAATTCGTCGATAGTATCGTTTGTGAACACCAAATTTGACGGAACTGAGTTGGGAATTTATTGGTGTCTTTTTTTTCTGACTGTGCCAGTAACTAGGATAAATAGCTTCGAACTGTACGACGCCTGATGAACTTGAATTGGATAGAAGCGGGCGTGACTTAATTTAAGGAACTATCAAGGAAAGCAGAATAGATCTGAGTCAGGATAATAAGTGTTACACTTGAGATTCACACTAGCCACTTTCCAAACACAAGTCTGGTGCATACCGCTCGGGCGAGGAACTCTGAAAATGAGACATACAGAACGATCGTACTTTCAAGAGAACTATTTTCAGGATGTAAATCTGTGTAGTCCCGTAGAAGTTGGACCGAAGATTTTTTACTGATTGCTTGATGAGTTAATCTATTACCTTGAAGACTTAGTTTTCTCAGTGTTTACTTCTAGACCAACTTCTTTACTTGCGTCAATTAAAGTTTGTGTGTTTTTCTTTATGGTATCTACATTATCACCCAGTAGATTCACATCATCGGCAGAGGCCAACAGCTGATGTGTCCCGTTTAATTTTAGTCCCACCTGGTTTCCCTGGACCTTCCTAATGGCATATTCTAAACCAAAGTTGAAGAGGAGTGGCGATAAAGCATCTCCTTGTTTTAGACCATTCTGGATAGGAAATTCATCAGACAAATGTTTACCTATACGGACTTTACTGTACGTTTCGTTTAAACACATTTTAATCAACCTAACTTGTTTCATAGGTATCCCAAACTCTATCAGAATATTGTACAATACTTCCCTCCTAACTGAATCAGGCTTTCTTGAAGTCTACGAATAGCTGATGTACTCCCATTTTTTTTTCTCCAATAACTGACGAATGCAAAATAGCTGATCCGTAGTTGATCTGTTACATCGAAACCCACACTGACGATCCTCAATAATTTCATCTATATATGGACTTAACCTTGAAAGAAGAATATTGAATAAAATTTTGTTTGAAGTTGATAGCAGTGATATCCCCCGATAACCCGTTCAGTTACATTAATTAAATATAAATTATAAATATAATATTTGTAGTTTAGGCTGTGAAAACTTGACTTCAACATGATATTCCTTTCATGGATCTATTTGATTTAACCTTCTATATAATTTTCGTTGAAAATATATAGCATCTGTTCAAATATAGAATCATGACTTTACTATAAAATTGAACTGAAAAAATACTAATAATTATCCTGCTACAAATAATAACAATAATAATGGAAGATTTGAATTATGTCGCATGTGTGCCTTGCAACTTACTTTGTTTAGTGGTTGTTCCCCTTCGACGGTCTTAACTAATACTGTTGTCTGTACTGAACTGTGGTCCCTTTATATATCCCCAGGTACAGATGCATTCTCTGTAAACTTTCAACTGTTCTTCTTCACCCCCTGCTGTCCCCATTGCTAGGGAGTCACGGAATAGAAGACATTCAGTGGTTCCGACGGCTGGCGTCTGGCGAGGATATTTTTTATCGTCTCTACCTCTTTTAATCCGTCGAAAAATGTTAACCGTTATTGAAATTTACCGAATGGAAGTTGCCTGCTGGTTTACAATGTATTGCACTTGACGGAGTTATTTGTTGACGGTCGTAAAATTGACGTTATTGCCCACTCTTAGAGACATTTCGTGTCTGTTGCTTCTGCGATGTGTTTATATGGCATCGTGTGACCTGAACTAGTGGTTCTCAAAATTTCGTAATTCACGTGCCAAATTTCTGAAGACGGATCAATATATTTACATTTCTTATTATATGTAAAAGGTAAGGCTTTAGTATATTTACGTATGTTTATTTTAAATGTATAAAGATGGGAGAGGACACTCTCAAAAATTTAGTACAAAAATGATTACTAGTGTTCTTCGGTTTTTATTAAGCTTAAATTGAAAGGAATAAATAATGAATTCCAAATTAGCAAAATTAGCACTTTAAAATATTGCTTCCTAATTTTCGAAATAGAAACATAAGTTATTTTCTCATGGTCGTCTCTCCAAGATGGACATTTTTCTTGTTTACAATTATCTATCTGTGGTGTTGTATTTGAGAGAAATAGGTTGGGACAGGCGGACGAACGAACGGATGTTCGGCCATTACATATGTGGTGTACTGGTGGAGAACAGCCTCTACAGTATTTTAGAAAATTCTGTTGTTGTATTAAGGTAAAGTAAGGTAAATGTAACTTTAACAACGGGCTCAATCAATTAAGGGCCTTGCCTCAAGATGCATGGGGGAGTGGAGGAACAGCTCTACCATTCATAACCTTGGTAATAAACGGAGGTGAGTGGTGAGCTTCACGCCCCTGCCGCTTTAGCCCCTGAGAAACGACTTTCGCTATCCAGTTTATAGGAGGTTGGGTGGGCCCCCATATCCGGTCTGGAAGTTACCTATACCAGGAATCGAATCCCACCTCCTCGGTCGTCTACCTCGTTGTCTAATCACTATACGTGCAGAGCTATCCTATAATTTGTGCCATACGTATTTTGCTTGTACGAATCATATTAGAATTTAGTATAATTTTTCTTTATTGCTAGTGGGGTGGGACTAAGTCCCTTGTACTGCGGCCACTTCTGGCCTATTGTACCAGCCCCAGATGATAGGTGAGGGTGATTGTGGAGCAATTGGTGGAATGAAGATTGGCAGGGGAAACCGAAGTACTCGGAGAAATCCTGCCCCAGCTCCATTTTGTCCACCACAAATCCCACTTGACCCGGGCCGCCGCGGTGGAAAGCCAGCGACGCCAGCGACTAACCGCTTGAGCTATGGCGCGGCCTGGATTTAGTAAAAACAGATCATCTTGTAAGAATCTTGAGTGATTATATTAAAAGTACTAGCCAAAAATAAGACTCCCGATGATGACTTTTGAACAGCCGAAACAAGTCGGGTTATTGTCACTCGTGACATTTCTACGACTTTCAGAACACAATTCTTGAGCGGCAGGCCTTATAAAGAGCATGGTACTCGCCGTCTTAAATGACCTATCTGTCTTTGGAACTTGACATATATACAGTATTACTTTTCTATTTATGGTTATTCGAACACACAACAAAGTTATCTTAAAACAAGTACAAACAAAAATACGTCATTCAAAAATTAAATATGTATATATAAATTTGTTACTATGGTTGCTATTAAATGTACGGAGGTTATACATTTGACGTCCTTGCGGCCCCAGTGTCTTTTCTATGGACAAAAAGAAATGGGGAAAGGAACTGACTTGAACTCTACACAATACAATCAACAGAAAAATTAACAATTTCGTGGAGTTGTCTTTCTAAGAAGAAGTTCTGTTTACAGTTTGTTCCTGCGGCGCCGCGTTTGGCAGGACCAGGGCGTGCCACACAGGCAGGTAAACATACGTATGTTTGGCTACTAAGAGCATATATAGATATTGGAGACCGTAGTATTTTTCATATATTCAACATTAGTGGCAGTTCCATTTACAGACCCGTGCCATCTGAATGATATTACTATAATTTAACAGAGAAAGGAGGGAACGAGATAAATGTAAGAAAGGTGTGAAAGATTGAATAGAGTGGGATGAAGGATGAAGATGAAATAAATTATTTCCTGTTGAATTTCAGCGGGATTTAACGCTGGTGTATCTTAATAGTCATGTGGCCCTTTCAGACATTATGATTAGTTGACCTGTTAAAGGCATCAAAAAGCAGATATATTTCCATTTTGTCATGGTCTTCCTGAAATGTTTCTTCTCTACTATACCAGCATACAGTTCTATTTTTTGGGGGCGAGGTTTTCAGATTGCTACATGTATGTTCTCTAGGGAAGGAGCGTTCTGTCAGGCCTTCTTTGTCCCACTAATATTTATTACTACTGAAAGTTTCAGTTCCGTGTCTCTTTCATTTATTTATGGGCTGCAATGGTGTAAACAACTTATCGTATATTTTTTAAGTATAGAATGAATTGTTCCACTTAGCTCGTTTTTCAGTCAAGCCAGCAACAACAAGAAGAAACAAAGCGATTGTTGTTGTCTTTAACAATTTTTGTGCCAAGCTTTCTTTTTTATAAAAACATTTCTTATTTCTTTTCTGTTCATTTAATTTGCCAAAGATGAGAAATGTGTGGATTCGACTGTAAATATATTGCATAAGATTTTGTTTTCATTGATAGTATCAGTCACAAAAGATATTGTCACTTGTATCCGTGACTAATAACGCGTGTTCTGGATTCAAAGAAGGGGTTTATTTACTCCTGATACGCACCACCGGTAATTACACGTACGTAATTATAGTGCTATCGCTATATACATAATTTCCAGTCCGCATTTGCACACGCACTACGATTCTTAGTTTCCACTAGTCGTCTCCTAGCAACGGATCTCAACACAGAAATTAGTACTTCAAATCAGTATGAAGTTTTCTATTTTGTCTTCAATCACTCCGGAACCTCGGAACTAAAAATTCTTCTGTACACACTTCTCCAGCTTACGACTGACTCGTAACTCGTAACTGCCTCATTCCTCCTGCTTATGCCTGACTCGTAACTGCCTTGAATGAATTCTATCACTTTTACTTATATAGCCGCGGAACAGACATGGACCTATAGAAAATAATATCACGTGATCGCTATCCAGCCAATCTATTAATGCGTCGGTCGGATCTACAGAAAACACAGCTTCCTCTGTTGTTGCGTGCTGGCCCGTGTTTACAGGGTTGTTGCCTGACAAGGCGTTGATCAAATCCGTTATAATATTATTAATAAAGTATTAAATATTTAAGAGAAGAAATCTAGTTAGTTGTGTGTAAAGAATTAATTAAAATATATATGTTCGAAAAATAACGAGCTCTCGAATATAATCCATATTCGAATTTTAAATAATTAAATTAAAAAATCCTATAACTCTTAATTTCTTGGCCAGTTTACAAATATATCAATCTGTCACCAACTGCTGGTTTGCCAGTCGCTTATTTCACGTTATTCCATTTGTAGCCAATGTTCTATGAGGGCATTTGATTTCACACATACGCGATTCGCATTTGTGTACACGCATGAAAAATCGGTGATTTGTCCCAAGAGATAAATATTTTCTGGAAGCAGGGTTGTAATTATGTTCTAACCATTTTTATATTTTGCAGATGATAATTTTACATTTCTTCATGTTATAATAGTAATTTATTTGTAAACCTATGTTTACTTACTGTTTTTTGTGTTTAGTGAAGGAACAGACAATTTAGATTTTCTTAAATTTATGCTAACGGCGACCGCTGTTCCTCTAACCCTCAGTATCCCATAAGGTTTTGGTCTTGCAGTACGCGATCTTTTCTGGGAATTTTATCCCAGCGTTCATCGATGGATTACTATAGAGAACTAGAGATTTCTTAAATAATTTTGGAATACGAAATCAATAATAAAGCATTTTCGAAGGTAACGCTCACTAAAATAACTGGCTGAATAGAACCAGCGTGACGATTACAGTAGACTGCATTCGGTTTTCTGGAGATATTTTGGTAGCAAATAAGTAGGTGTCATACAAAGTGATTCTAAATTATTGTCGGGGTTTTCGTGGCCTTAATTCTTAAACCAGAAGAAACAAAATAAAACTGCTTAGGGAATATGAAAATGTACAGTGTAACCTCGCTTAACGAGCGCCTCTCATAACGAGTAATTCGCATAACGAACAAAACAAATTGTAAAGAAATTACTCGCTTAACGAGCGACGTTTCGCATAACGAGTGACGAGAGGGGAAGCCCCGGGTTGTGCGCTTGCTACATCAGTCTGTGTTTAGCACTGTAACTCAGTTTTATTTGGCCTCATGTTTTCCGCGAATTTCTCGATATACATTTTCCTGGGGGATGGGTTGTGCGTGATGATGACAGTTCGATAAACTGTAGCTCGGAATTGTTGGTACGATCGAAACAGTTACACCGGAAGTGCTGGGATACTTGGAGGGAAAGTAAATACCGATTGGACATCTTACATGACAAAAAATATGAGCATGTTGAAGTTGTTTAGCATTCTCTAAGTTTAGTTCTATGCGCAACAAAACTTTTTGAGTTACACTTTCATGTTTCATAAGCGGTTTTATTTTATTTTTTTTTCATTTTGAAAATTATTGGCCATGAAAATACCGACAATAATTTAGAATCACTCTCTATTTGGCCAAAGTAGGGATTGTGCCATAAACTGGGTACCAGTCCACGATACGACGTTTTGGAACTGAGTATTCAGCACCCTGCACTCAGGTCGAGTCGACACAGTGACGCGTGATGTAGAAGCAGTTCCTGAACGTGAAGAAGACGCTCTAACAGACAGTAATGCAATGAGACGTTGGTAATACGGGTGGAGTGTAGGCGTCATTGAGCCGATAGCTGTGCATGAAGGCACACTAATTACTGACGACGCCCCGTGTGTAGGGTGACAGCTTATTCTTCGATAATTGTCACCAGTGACGTCACGCTACTACGCTTTCTACTGATACTGGGTATAGGTTCGAGAGATACGATTTTGGCAACTTGAAAATAATTACTGATATTTTTTGTTTATTTAACGATGTTGCAAATAACTCAGTCTACACAGCATAGAATGACAGGACGAGACTAAATAATGATATAGAAGCGCTGTGGAAGGGAGCGGTGATAGGCTAATTTCAGGCATTTTCCGACGTTCACGTGCTCGAGTCAGGAAAACAGGGCCCCTGCAGAGTAACATTTGTAAACAATCGTATGAGAGGCCGTGCCATAGCTCAAGCGGTTAGTCGCTGGCTTCCCATCGTGGCGGCCCGGGTTCGATCCCGGGTCTAGTCAAGTGGGGTTTGTAGTGGACAAAGTGGCGCTGGGACAGGTTTTCTCCGAGTACTTCGGTTTCCCCTGTCAATCTTCATTCCACCAAATGCTCCACAATCACCCTCACCTATCATCTGAGGCTCGTACAATAGGCCAGAAATGGCCGCAGTACAAGGGACTTAGTCCCACCCCACTAGCAATAAAATAAAAGCAATCGTGTGTAATCGCTTGTGTAGGCCTTCGTCTGTTATGAAAATATAAGAAAGGTGATCTGTAGCACCGATATCTTCATCTCCCACCTCATTTCACCTTTGCGGTAAAACGATCAATATGGGCTGTTGTAAAAACAGAAATTAATTTTTGAATTCTAAAAATATTTGGATTTTTTTTTACCATTTGAGGACTATGAGCGTCTCAAGTACATGGGATTAGTTTCTAGTTACTTCTCGAATTAAAAACAAACGTACCGTAAAAGAGGCTTACTTTTGTCGATAAACTTTGGATGTAAAGAGTTCTATATTATGAAATAAAACATCATGTAGTCCTTCGAAAGCAAACGGGGTTTTCGAACGAACATGTCGCCTTCATCTTCAAGGCTAAAGAAAGTAAGTCATGTAACATACCAGTGTGGAAGAGACAGCAAGCAAAGGGTGATTTTTAGCGGACTACATGGTCTTATATCCCAGACGATATAATGCTTCTTAACCACCACTTTGATAATCTAAAATCCTATAACTTTTAGATATCATTTACAGGAATAATCTTCAATGAAAATACAAGAAGGTTAGATCATTTTCTACTAGAAAACTTGGCACCTTCTTATTATAGTAAAACGTCATCAAAATCGGATATCTTCTCTTTCTGGGAATTATATTACCACGTCTCTCAAGCTGAGGAATAATATAATTTTTCAGTATGTCTATATGGGGCCTGTACATAACGCCTACTGTTTGTTGATCTCCCAGTTAAACCTGATATGAGTCCATGCACTTTAAACTACGAGGTTAAGTAACAGAGTAAGCAATTATAACTTCTAGCTGTACGATGTACTAGTTAATTTTCCATCGGGTTCAATTGAGTACTTCTTTTTAATGCTAGTGGGGTGGGGCTAAGTCCCTTGTATTGCGGCCACTTGCGGAGCAATTGGTGGAATGAAGATTGGCAGGGGGAACCGAAGTACTCTGATAAAACCTGCCCCAACGCCACTTTGTCCACCACAAATCCCACTTGACCAGACCCGGGATCGAACCCGGGCCGCCGCAGTGGGAAGCCAGTGAATAACCGCTTGAGCTATGGCGCGGCCCCCGTAAACATGTTACTGCCATGTAAACTTTACTGATATACAGAAGAACGATAGGTTCTGCTGCATTCTGTTAGGGCTGACACAAGTAGTTGCAGACGCGGCTTAAAATGCGCAGTCAAATTAATTCGAAGATGAATTTAGAGGCAAAAGAAGACTTTCTTCAAGTGTTCTTATACCTTTATGGATGCTTATTCCCGTTCAGAATTAATGCTGAAATTAGGAATCTCATAGATATGTGGTAGGTCTCCTTGGACGGGGGATCAGTCCGTCGCAAAGCCGCTACTTACACAGAAAAAGGAAGA